CTATAACTCCGCAACGTGCAGGCGCTCAAGTGCATATACCGGTCAGCTCTAAATCATCTCGACTTGCTGAAACACGGCAACCACAGCTAAATGAGACGTTTGCTAGACATAACAAGAGTCCACCTGGCCTTCCACATTAAGACTATAGAACATTTTCCCCACACGTCCCGACCTGTGCATTTTTTTAAGTATGAATGATAACCTCATATAAATCTTACATTTCAATTGTTTTCCCATTTACTGGCAGCTGTTGACGGGACTAAGGTGTGGAAGGTACATTTCACCATTTTATTTATATCTTATTCAATTTATAGTATTTAGACTTGTCTCATGAACATTCATAGTCTTTGCAACTATAAGCTACTGTTTATATGGTAGATTCATGCTCAAACATCTATACAACAAATGATAAGCCATGTGAGCAATAATAATAGTTGAATTCGTAAAATATAATAATAATTGTGATTTACTTACTAATATGTATCCCTGTTGATTATAGAAATGAGGCGATTCTCGCTACTTAAGTCCCCTAATGAATCACATGTGCATAAATTAAGATGGAGCTTTGTTCATTAGCATATCATAGTATTATGACATAATACATATGATGGATATGTCCCAGGTTGCTACTCGATGTCTATGTTAACGGTACCACTGCACAATCAATAGCGCGCGTGAGATAGTTTCGAAATGACGTGATTTGATAATTTGAGCATGTGTGCATCGTTTTATGTGCTTTTTTTCGTCGAGAATTCTCTACTTTCAGCTTTTCCGAGTCCACACCAACATCACGATCTTCCCTCGCGCCTGCCTCTCGCCTCCTCTCCAAAGCCCTCATCTTTTCTCCTTTGCAAACAACATAAAAAAGGAACTTTGTCAATATATCACCGCTCGACAACCACTTGCATATGTATGAACTTCAAGGATCTGGCTCCATCAGGATTAGGTGTGACAAAGTGGCACTCGATCTCAGTGAGGAGACTTGTGAGTTATATTAAGTTTAAATTATCATCAAACATTTACGATTGCGCTTGGAGCACTTAGTTTGCTCATCGAGCTGAACTTGATAACCTGTTTTTCCATTGAAGATATAATAAAAATAATACATAATAAAAAAATGAATCTCAAACCTTATGGACTCGATGAAATAAACACGTTTGAAACTCTTTTATCCATATCCTTTTATTCAGATATGTTTTAATATATATCGTCGTTATATGCAGATAGAGAAAAAAATATGCTAATTACTTTTGTGTATAATCTAGTGTAATACAGTTAAGAACTAGACCATCCCTTTCTCCTAGTTGTATATATAGTAGTTAACTTGTAGTTATATATCTTATTTTACTGATAGTGGTTGCTCCCATCAATATAAAGTCTTACAATCTTTTACTCATGTGATAAACTGAATATGTGTGTGTGTTGTGATGTGTGTGTATATATACTAGTGATGTGTGATGTACTATATACTATATATATCTTAGGAGTGTGTGTGATGTACTCTATATGTCTCTCTCTCAGTGTTGATTGGTCAGTGTTGTGTTGTGTGTACGCATGCGCTGTAGTATGCTATGTGTGCTCCGATGCGCTGCCGGTATGTAGTGATTGTGTGATATATATATATAATATCCTAATACTACTATTATACCTATTATACTATAATATATATTATATATTACATATAATATATATACATATATATATATGTATAATATTACTACGTATATATAAATTATATATAATATATATATATATATATATTATACTATAGTATTTATAATTATATATATATAATTATAACATACACTACATACCAAATATTATTTAAAGAATTTATTATAGATGTAAATGAATAATTAAATATAATTATACATAATTATAAATTATTAATTAAATATATAATTTTATATCAATTTTAATATATATTATAAATATGTAATATCTATATGTATATTTAATATTGGCGAGTTTAACAATCTATACTAGCTTATTTATAAATATATTTATATGTATATGTTAATGGTGTGATATAATATGTTAATATATATAACACTACACTCATACACCATATATTATTATATAGCATGTAATATATAATAAATGATAAAATAACATGAGTATACAAAAAATTTAATAAAGATATAATAATATATATAGTATATATAATATATTAAAATATTATATATATATATATTATATATACACATATATATATATATATTATTATATAGGTATATATATAGTAATATATTATGATATATATATATATATATAATATATTATATATGTTATGGATTCATGCAATACACACACACACACACACACACACTGTAAAATCCGCTTTTGTTGCAGTTGTAGTACAATGTAAGTTTATAGTATAAATAAGATTAAGTCTTTAGATGTCTAGGGGAAGTAGCGAAATGATTACAACAGGTACTGTAAGTAACACATTATAGCTTATAAATTAGTATGCTATTTAGCTTACGTTAATTAAGTTATTCATTTATTTAATTCATACGTTTCTGATTAGATGTACTTTTGAATCACAAGTCAACTATGAAGTTATTGTTCAGTATGCTTTTGTTCAGTCAATATTTCTTAATCGGTTCAGAATTATTCAGTTATTCTAGTATTGTTTCTTATTTCTATTTTATTTATTTAGTGTTCTTATTTAGTTATTCTTCATTAGCCATATATTACGTATATTATCTAGTTATAGTGAATTGTAAAGTATATTCAGTATAGCGTTTTTTCTATATAATATTTTAGATCATGCTCATTTATTGTTTCTTAGTATTCTGAGATTATCAGAATTACATAATTTTGTAGGTTTATCTTCAATAGGTTTATTTAAAGTGAACTATATTTCACACACGTTAAATTATTTAATCAATGATATTATACACAACAAAACATTCAACATTTTACAAAAAGAAAATATACCATGACTGATAAATAGAATTTCTTCCGTAATTCTGAAGTAGATCATCGCACATGTTTTCCACATAACACCGGATTATCGCATAACTTCACATTCAACACCAATAACCCTATAACACCACCACTTATTTCCCTTATGTTCCACCTCATACCCTAACGCATGAATAAGACACACATATACATCGCCAGTATACTTAGAAGCAATGATAAGGTTCCAGATGTTCGAAACGAATTTTCGAAGTTGGTCCACCGCTTACACGTGTACCTGGGAGTGAGGGGAAGCCAATGGGCGCTCCGAGGAGACTCACCGTTTCCTGTCCACGTCACCCCCCAGGTAGACATGCTTGCGCCCCCCGCTTCGGAACTCCGATTCGAGAAATCGAATAGAATTATGTATCCTATATAGAAATAGATATAGTGTTGTATGGTAACGTGATATTAGTATGCTTAAATACATTCGATTACAATTATGTTGTGTGTGTGAGTGGTGTATTGAGAGTCTGTGTGTACTGGGTGTGACAAAACTATGTTTATATATCATACTATTATTATATAAAATATTATATATATATTATATATATACTATATATCTAATCTTTATATATATTATGTGTTGTGTGGGCTGTGGATGTGCGTGTGTGTGTGCTTGGAATGTTGTGTTGTGTGTGGGTGTGTGGTGTGTTGTGCTGTGTGTATATACTGGCTATACGTATAGTAATTATACGTATACTACTATATATATAATATAGCTATATATATATATTTTTCATCATATAGGACATACGATTATCAACGTACATACACAACACACACCACACACACACACACACAGCACCACCGACACCTTCACACACACACACACACACACCACACAGCTAGATATTAATATATTATATATTATATATAATCGTATATATCTGATTATATAATATATATATATTTCCATTATTCACATACATACATAAACGTAGCATACATACACAACAACTCACACACAGCCACACTCACTACCACATATATATCACTATATACGGATAATATATATAGTGATATATATAGTATAATTAATCTATTATATATATACACATTACATATCTCTTCTCCCTCTCTCGTCTCTCTTCTCTTCCCCATAACAATAATGTCGTGTTAATCTAAGTTATATATATGTAAACTACTATATACTATAGGTATTATATACTATATATAGACACATAAGTATAATGATCATAT